TGGCCATGCAGGGCAACCTCCTCCCCAACACCCATGCTGTTAACTTTGTTGATGTTAACAGCCCCAGCTTTGGGCTAGATCCTAAAACACCCATGGAAATGCTCTACCACCACGTTCACCGACTCAATATGTCGGGACCATTTGGAAGTGCTGTGAGCGGGGCCAGTCTGACCCAAATGCCTGCAGGGAATGTGTTCACAACTGCCGAAGGACTTTTTTCCACTCTTCCATTTCCTGTGTACAGCAATGGCATTCACACTACACAGACTCTGGAAAGGAAGGAGGATTGAAATATGACCACATACTGTGTTCAGTGTTATACTCTGAGGCATAGACTATGTTTTAATTTAGACCTTTAATTCTAGCACTTTGAATTTGAGCAGGTCAGCTTATTATCTCAATATGATGGTCCCCATTTCATTCCCTTTCTCTTTAACTTGACTTATTCTTTAATGTAAAGATATTTTTTTATTTTTGCCTTCAGAGAGTTGAAGTACCAGTTGCCTGCCATTTTGTCTTCTTCTAAGATGTGTGTTTTTTCCTTTGCATCTTTATTAAGATGCCTTTAATATGTGTATGCCTCTGCCATAGAATACTCAGTGTTGTGGTAAAGAGATTTTAAAGTGACAACCATTGGTTTTACTTCAAAATGATCTTGATATGATCAAGATTAAAAGAAACAAGCATAAAAATTGTGCCCTGTTTGACTAAGTCAAATGAAAAGGGGGTTTTGTTCCTAATTCCTTTAAAATAGGGGATAGTATTTTAGAATTTTATGCAGAGTTTAATTCTCTTTTTATGGTTAAGATTTTCTTACTTGCACATAAAATAATTTGGGTTCTTAAAAAGTTAATTTCTGGCCTGTGACTAGAATGTTAAAAAGTTGGACTAAATGTTAATTACTGAAACTTTAACTTAATTTCTAAAACCATGGTGCTATCATTTATTAATCTGTAATGTCTTCATACAATATGCAGCTTGTGGGCTGGGTTTTTTGGAAAGAATGTGTTCCGTACTGGTTTATAGTGGGGTGCTGCAGTCTCCTTGGTTAGTTAAGACAAAAGCCCTCATTAACATTTGCTGCAGGACTTAAAATTTTTTACCTCCAAACTAACAAGCATAGCCTCACATCAAATTTAAATGGGTCAGGAAGCCTTTTTCAAAAAGTGCTTAAAAACAAAAAAATCAATTTAATTGACGCGAGGAGCAGTTTCTTAGGTGCATATTGTTTTGCTTTATTTTTTTCTCAGTGTAACTGAGGCTAATTTTACAACATCAAATAACACTTCAGAGTAAAAAAAAAACAGTACTATTTAACATGTTTTGTTTTGTTTTTCATTTAATATTATAGAGGGAAGGTTGTAAATTTCTTTTTTTTCTTTGATTTGGGTATTTTTTGTTAATGTTTTCCTTATTTCTAGTATTGAAACCAATATGTTTTAAAACTAAAGAATGGGTTAATAAGCTTGAAATAGATAACTACAACTGAAAACTGCACATTAAGTAAAAGAAAAGAAATCTCCTATTTTGTCTTTGTTGCCAGAAATCACAGTGTAGTGTCAAACACTCCAAATGACTGTCAAATATAAATTCTTCTTCCACTCCATCTTTGGCAGCTGTTTGTTAAGGCATCTAATAACAGATGTGAGAACTGTAATGTGTACAATGTGTAAGTGTCCTTGGCTGTCAGTCCCATTGCAGTTTCAATGTGTGTTACTATATGCAGTATATACTAAGCTAATGTAGTTGTTTTGTCCTTTGTCTTCTCTGTGCTTTATCTCTAGTCCGGAGTGGTAAAGTCCCATTCCTGCAGTCCTAGTGAACCAGTGATTCTTGGGGGTTAGTGGTTTTTGTGTGGTGGCCTTCCTCTGTAATGTCACCTTATGCTGCTTCCACTGTCTGTATACATTTTAATTTCTGCTGTTGCTTTGCTGTTGTGTATTCTCAAACCTCTCTCTCCCTCTTCCTCTCTCCCCACCTCCTCCACACTTTTTCCCTCTCTCCTTCTCTCGCTCTCTCGTTTTCTCTTCTTCACTCTCAGAGATAAAAGACTCTTAACTAGCTCAAGGTTAATGGAGCCATTATTCCCACAGAGGAATTCTGGGTATGACTTACTCTTCCAGTGTACCCCACAATGCACTACAGAGTAATGCTCAGATATATTAAGCAAATTGACGCCATATAGCCTCAGTTGTTAACATTCCCAGAGTCCTTGTGCTCGAACTGTAAGCAGAGGGTGCATTTCTTTGGTTTTCTCCTAGGTAGGCTGGTGGAGCAATACGTACAACAATTACCAGTGAGATATGAAATTCTTTCAAAGGTCGACTGGCATTGTTTAAAAAGGAAACTGAGCTTAGAATTGTCATATATATTCGCTTATGTGTGCAAAGCTAATGTATTAACTCAGCTGTCCTTTTTGACCACTCACTGCATTGTGTCAATTTCTGTGGTAGCTTTGAATTTGAGAAGTAGGTCCAAGCCACAGAGGAGTGATAGTGGAAAAGGAATTGGATGCCAGAAATTTAATTAATGAGCTTTTAAAGGTTCCATAGGAATGATTTAAGTAGGTTTAAAAAAGGCAAGAAAGCTGATTGGGAAATTCAAAGTTTAATTTTGGAAGCTCTGCTCTAGCTATGGAACAATCAAAGGAGTGCACCTATCAGCTACGAAGAACAGCTAGACAGCTGTTGTTGTTTTGGGTTTTTTTTATAAATGTTACTGTGTTGTGTCAAAATGATTTCTGGTGATTTGAACTAACAGATAATCACAGCTGCTGTCTAAATCCATAGTGTTTAAAATTACAAAATGAAAAAAAAACTTCATTACCTGTGAAGACTGTGTCTGTGTTTTTAACTATTTCTTGTACAAATATATGAAATCTTTTATGAGGAGACTGGTGCCAAGTAGCTGAATAATGGGGAAAGGGTTCTGTTCGTATAAATCTTAGCAGTGTTACCAACTCTACAATATAAAAAAATTAAAATGTTAAAAAGTGACAGCTATGGTACATTTATTTTGTGTTAAGCTAACCGAATCTAACTTCTTGAGTGCCTGGCTTATTTGAAACATTTTTTTCATTGATCATTGATAATGCTGCAAATCAGAAATGTACATACTTCATTTACAACAGGGTTCTTTTTATACTTTTGTAGATTCTCATACATGTCATACATGGTTGTCTTTATGTAACTTAATTTTTTTCATCCCGCAGGTGCCATTTTCATAATAAACTTCTCTTGGATTTGTTACTATCTGGCATCATTTCTTTTACATATAACCATCCTGACTAATGAATGCTGGTAGTATTTGTTTGAGCAGGTATTTTTTAATTGTTTTGTAAAAAAAAAAACCTAAAATACAAGAAAAAATAACCAAAAATCAAAGAAGATAAAGCTAGATTTTTATTAACACTTGCGAAATGAAGAAAAGAAGCTGTCAAGATGTAGGTTAAGAATGCTAATCCAAATACTACAACAAACTTGCCACCATTCTAAATTCTCAGCTACCCCAACTCATTGTCATATTGAGCATTTTTATGCACATTATCAAAGCTGAATAATGGACCTGCAACATTAACCACTATAGAAAGTGTGCATTTTTTCTTGATTAATGCACACTGGAAGAGGTCAGCTTTGTACATTAATCATTTAAAATGCACTTTATATTTTCATTTTTATACTCTATGATGTTACAATGAAACTCTTAAGTCACATTATATCCTACCTAGGCTGCTGATTCTTTTAAATGTGTACTTTCTTTCCCCAGAGTGGCAACTTGTAAGTTGTTGGTGTCATGTGGCTAGACATTCTGCCTTACTAACTGAGGACAGAAACATTTACCAGTGCAGAACTGATAAGGCAAAAAGCCTTGACCCCACAAATGAAGGGGGGAAAAAAAAGTTGAAACCGGTTTTGATTACACAGATATCCATATAGAGTGGCTAAAAAGGGAATGACCTGCATAAATTCGGAAAAAAAAGGCCTGAGGCAAGTGGTTTTAGTCTCTGCAGTGAAAAGCAGGGAGAAGCTATGGTACAGGAGATGCCACCCCAGGTACCCATTGCTCTGTGCAGTCTCTGGTGGTGGCTGCTGCATGCATGGAGGAGGGGCTGGGTGGTGGGAGACAGGGGAGTGGGAGGCTTCTCACCCACGGCTTACATGGTCTCTACATTTCTCCTTCATTCATGGCCTTTCTTTACAGTGCCTCCCCGACCTGTGACAAAGATTTTGTTATTGCTGAGTGTGCAGTCTCTAAGAACACAAATTTGAGGCAATCAACACAGTGCTGCCTATAGCCAAAATCCCTAAGCATCTCTGAGTGCCTAAATCTTTTCTCCTCTCTACCTCCACTTAGAAAGTAACACTACTAGGCTAATCATTCTGGGTCAGACTCTGGTTGCCTTATTAATGCTGAGTAAAACTGTCTGTTCACTGTTTTCAGCACATCTCTTTTCAGTGGAAGATACACTCAGCTGAAATAAGAGCATATAAATCTGGCTGGCTGGGCTGATTAAATAAAAAAAAAAAAAAGAGAGAGAAATGTATGCACAGTTATAGCTCAGTGAGCCAGTCCAGTCCCTTAATAGCCTGAAGTCTGGCTCTTTGAACTTCCAAGCAGTTCAGGATTCCTACTTCCCAGGCTCCAAGCACTGAGTTTGCTACATCTCCAACTTCCAGTGGGTAGAAAGGAGCAGAGGTTAGCGATGCTGCTTTCAGCTCTGCTTGCATGTTCCAGTTGGCAATGCATCTTGTTTATGAGGTAGCTGAGGGTACGGATGCCAACTGAGAAGAAAACTGAATTTAAATGGAGATTGGAAGAATGACCAGAATAAAGATTAATGGAAGAATAACATGCCTGTTCTAAATAGTGTTAACCAATATTAACTAAAGCCACTAATTCCAAGAAAGGGCTTGAGAGAGGCATTTCTGAGCTGTTATAAAGGCTTTTTAAATCTTAACCCTACTGCCTATACATTGCATGAGAGCATGGAGTTGATGATCAAAAGGAATAGACTGCTCTAAGACTTGCAGTTGAATGAGGAACTTTGTGCATTAAAGAAAATTGTGGAAAGCCATTTTGTGGTAGGTTTTCATAGTGATGTTACTGCACTAGTTAATGTCTGAGAATGGGTATTGTAAATTATTATCTGCAGCAGCTTTATTAAACAAAAACAACTGCTTGAAACAACCCTTTGAAAAGGGTTCCTGGGGGTAGGCTTAGCTGCTGTCTTGGTAATATTTGACGAAAAACTGTTTTCCATGCAGGAAGTTGGGGAAACTTTGTCGAGTCATTTCATCAAAGAACATTTCCTAAAAAAACTGATCTCAGTACCTGCCATCTCTAGTAAGTTTGTTCCTGAACTGCTTGTTTTGCAAGGTGATATATGCAGGTATTTAAAAGCTACCTAAAGGGTTGCAAGGGGAAAAGGGCTCTTTCAAAGCCTCATGACTATGAAAGGTTATAGTGAAAGAAAAATGTTTCAGGAGTACGTAGGTAAGTACTCTGACAGCTTGCACTGGTGCTCTTGCACGGTGGTCATGTCACTGGAATAACTTTCATGCCCGACAGCACATTTATTGTTATGATTCTAGGAACTGTGTTAGTTTAAATGTGTCAATGCTTTCAGAGTTATTTGCGTAGTATTTTCCCTTCTTACCATTGTAATTTCTTTATTTTCATTTTAGGGCTGGGGGCGGAGGGTGGAAAGACTTGATGTGCATTGTCAGCTAAATTAATGAACTATCATCTATCCAGTGAGTTTACCAAAGAGCCTACAGAAATGTGAACAAATGGGATATCACCAGAGCCACAGATGCTCAGGTAAGATCAAACCATTTATAAAACATGCACATGCATGCACACAGACACTCAGATCTACTACCTCTGAAAGCCAGTTGAGGTGGTACCTATGTATGTATGCATAATAAAGGTCCCTTCTTCCCCTCTTTCACCTATTCCTTCATCTTTTCATAAGTGAGTGCTGGAAGATGTTTTCATAAAATATATCAAATCACATCCACACTTTTTTTAGCAAATCCTAGAATCACAGAGTAGTTTGGATTGGAGGGAACCTTAAACATCATCTAACTCCAATCCCCCTGCCGTGGGTAGGGATGCCACACACCAGATCAAGTTGCTCAGGGGCCCAGCCAACCTGGCCTTGAACACTTGAAGGGACGGGGCATCCATAACTTCTCTGGGCAACCTATTCCAGTGCTTCACCACCCTCTAAGTAAAGAATTTCTTCCTCACATCTAATCTAAACCTACTGTCTTTCAGTTTAAAACCATTGCCCCTTGTCCTTCATTATCTGCCCATGTAAAAAGTCCCTCTCCCTCCTTTTTAAAAGCCCCCTTATTGTACTGAAAGACTGATAAAATTTGTTCCTAAAGCCTTCTTTTCTCCATGTTGAATAAACCTAACTCTCTCAGCCTGTCTTCATAGGAAAGGTGCTCTAGCCCTCCACTCTGGAGAGAGTGGAAGAACAGCTTTTATTCCCATAATCACTGTGAGGTTGGTCTTTCAGGGAAAAAAAAAACAAACAGAGTAGTTCGGAAATATTTCATATAAATAACCACATTTCTAGAAATATCATACTCAGAAGTAAAACCTAGCTTAGTGACTCAAGTCCGAAGCCATACAAATTAAATCAATAATTATGAGTTTGATTACATGTGTAGGAAGTTATAATTTTTTTTCCATTTTCTAGGATCTGTGCAGATTAGATGCAATGCAGAAAATAAGGCATCTTTTAGTAGACACCAACAGTACAATAAGTACTGACTTAATGCTTAGGCAAAATGATTGTCAGGACCCAATAAAGGCTTATGGAAACTCAGTGGGAGAATGCTTGCATGCTCTGCAGACAGGAGACTTTATTGTCTGGCACTTCATCTCAAATTACCTTTCACTGACTCTAGAGACATGGAAAATATTGAGATTACCTTTCCCATTACGAGTTTTCATGAGAAAAAGGACCCCTTGTCTTGTTTGTAATAAAAGTGAACATAATGTTTTCTGGCAAAAGGAAAGGAATCAGGTTTTCCTCTTGCTTTAAAAGCATTCACAGATTTATAGCGGAAATGACAGGAACAGGATGTATTAACCATATGACCCCAGCAGAATGAGTCTATACCCTTGATTGATGTACGGGTTTGTCTATGTCCTCTGAATAGCCACAAAAGGTCCAGTCTTGGTCCAGCTCAAATTAATGAGAACTTGACTAATAACTTTAATGGCTTCAGGACCAAAGTTTTGATCCAATATTCATAATCAAATAACAAAGCAGAGCCTATAGCATGAACCACAGACAAATGAGTCTGCAGCTAATTGTTACATCAAGCTTCCTTTCTAATTCTCTACCACACCAGTCACAGGCCAAGAGAGTAGCTCTTTTCTGTTTCATTAAAAAATCTTTCCCAGTTTTTGGTGGTCTGATCCTTCCACAGATTCCTATCTTTAAAACATGGTGGGAGTGAGTCAAAGGCACAGGTAGGACTGCAAAAACTGCCTTCTCACCCATGCTCTGTGGGAGTGGGCCTGGCTGCCTGGGTCTTTAATATGAAACCAAAGGACTCCAAGGAGGAAACTCTGATGGTTATCAAAGCTTGTATTTTCTTGAACTGCCAGCAGTGCTACCTGATGGCAGCACCAGAATCACCAGTATGGCTTTCTCAGACCCTCTCTGAATATCATCCAAGAGATGGGAATGTTCACATTTTAAGGAGGTGAGTATTGACTGAAACCATTTTTGCTCAGTACTGTGAATCTCTGAGGTCTCTTAACATTTTTTTCTTCTAGCCAGTTCTCTGCTTTATTACAGCATGTAAGATAGCATCTTGCAGGATAGTGACAAAAAATTATTTCAGTTCTGGAAGTCCAGTCTCCTTAGATTATAGCAAATAGAAAGAACTAGGATTCTCCAAAGATTTATTTTGAGCTGAAAATACAAACTAAATGCTATGATTCATCCTCATAGCAAGGACCTAGGGATCTTTGACTTTTCAGGGTAAGATTGATTTCTAAGAACAGGCCTCCCACTTATTGCTCATTGGCACTTGGAGCAAGCTGTAATTTTTGCCCTCTTTCCTGCTTAAAACGAAAAACCTTGCTGCTCTGTATTCCTTTGCCTCTGTTGAAAGACCTGCAGCTCATGAGCCTGGCTAGGCCCCTTCAGTTCCTAGGCAATTTTCTTCACTGGACATTACCTGAAATTTCCAATTGTGTGTTATTGTGGTTTCACCCCAGCTGGCAAAACCAAGCCCCACGCAGCCACTCACTCTCTGCTCTGCTAGCAGGATCAGGGAGAGAATCAGAGGGATAAAAGCTGGAAAACTCATGGGTTGAGATACAGACAGGGAAAGCAAAAGTCACGCACACAAGCAAAGCAAAACAAGAAATTAATTCACTGCTTCCAATGGGCATACAGGTGTTCAACTATCTCCAAGAGAGAAGGGCCCTGTCACGCATAACAGTGACTTGGGAAGACAAACACAGTCAATCCAAACATCTTCCCCTTCCTCTTTCTTCCCCTCACTTTATATACTGAGTAGGATGTCAGATGGTATGGAATATCCCTTTGGTCAGTTTGGGTCACTTGTCCCATCTGTGTCATGTCCCAGCCTCCCACACACCCCCAACTTCCTTGCCAGAGTGGCAGTACAAAAAGCAGAAAAGGCCTTGGCTCTGTGTAAGCCCTGCTCAGCACAACAAAGACATCTCTGTATTATCAACCCCCTATTCAGTACAAATCCAAAACTCAGTACTGCGAAAGAAATTAACTCTACCCCAGCTGAAACCAGCACACATGTTGGCATGATCATTTCCTTCCCATGAGACTGTAGCCTTCATCTTTTCTGTATGATCATTTCTTCTCTTTTTTCCACCATGTTTGTTTTTGGCTTTGCCCATCCTTGTTATCTTCAGAATGTCTTCAAACACACACCCTAGGATGCATAACATTTTCCCAGTGTGATCTATAACCATTACTGCCACTCCCTGGGCCTTGTTACCAAGCCAATTTTATATCCAATTGAGTATTTTAGTATTGTCCCATACTTGCTAACCTTACAAATTAATCTGCTATGTGGTACTGTATTGAGAGCCTTTTCAAGTCCAAGTAAATTATGTTTCCTTCTTTATCACTGTCCACTTTCATTGTCACTTCCTCAGAGAAATGAATCAAGATTGTTAAGCCTGACCTCCTTTTTGTAATCCATGCTGACTACCTCTAACCAATCTATATTAGATTGATATTAAATCAGGACACAGACTCCAAGGGGGCCTGCTACATAAATGCAACCTAAGGTTGCTTCATGTGGAGATGAGAGATGGGAATCACTGATACACTAAAGTTAGCAGTACCAGGTCTGATGGTTTGCCATAACTTATTAGTGGCCAGATCCCTCCCCAGAGTCTCAACCAGAACTCCTCTGGATAGAATAAAACCTTTTATCTGCATTTGCCTAACCTGTTTTAATTACAGAAGTGAATGTGATCACTGAGGATGAGAACGGGGTTCTGCCTTTACTCATTTATGATTAAGTCAAAATCACAGACATTCCAAAACCTAATTTTCAACAGAATGTTGCCTCACAGCTTCTGAGAAGAGCTGTATCTGCATTGCCTAACGTGTATGTCAAAAGACAGCATTGGCATTTGTTTCGTCTACAAAGCCAAGAGAATCTCCCACCTTGGCTAAGGTGCTGGAGAGCATGCGTGCTATGTCAGTTGCAACAATTTTCCCAATATTCCATTAAGATATTTGGCATCTTGCTTCCCATGAAACATGTGCCTGTTCTGAGTACGTCACTACTGACTGATGCCAGAGAAGCAACTTTTTCCTCCGCAAGAGGTGGGCTCAGGGACTGCAAGGTACACCGTAGAATCATGCACCATGTTGCCTTGCTTGCTTGCTGAGGTATGAAGATGGCAGCCTGCACAAGCAGGATGAGGAAAGAGGATCTCAGCAGTGAATACTGGCAGCAGTTTAGGTATACATTAAGTATGTTTTGCCAGCTTTTCTGCCTCAGTGACTGGAAATATCTCCCTCAATGCTGTAAGCACAATAGAGGTCTCTTTAATTTGGGAATAGAGCACCAATCAATCCCAACAGTCTGTCTTGAGCTTCTTTGACAACATATGCATCAAGCACACTGAGATCCAGAGGAAGTCAAAGGCATCCCTTGGGAAACCAACTGATGTGCATCTTGGGTGTGCTACGAGGCAGAAGGCCAAAGTGAGCCTTCTAATCTACACCCTGTGAAGGCTTATTGCTTATATCCTATGTACACACACATGGTACCCTTGTGTCTTCAAATCAGAAATGTAGTAGTCCGTGTATGGTGGGAGAGATGTTGTTCTGGAAGAGTTCAGCACAGTCAGTGCTGCTGCAGACTTACATATTCTGACAAGCATCCACTGAAACATAGGAAAGAGGCCCCCAAACAGTTTGGCATGCATTCAAGGCCTTGACCGTGTAACAGCCAGTAGAGACATGCTCAGAAAAATAACTTGCAGAAACAGTAGGTCAATACAGAGAAGCATAACTTAAAGAAAAGGGTTATAAGGGTATAAAGAAATAGTTGGAGCATGTCTTCCCTGGTTGGAAGAAAAGATTGCTCACATGCTTTATGATGAAAGAGTTCTGAAGAGAAAGTAAAGAGAAACTAAGACAATCATGTATTTCTCAGGCAAATAGAAAAGCAGAAAAACAAACAAAAAAAAGGCAAACCTAGTTGCTAGAGTTCTCACATTGCTAGTATCTGCAGCTAAAACATGTAGTCTTGTCATTGGCATAAGATATATCACAGCTACATGGAGTCCCACAGTTAAAGAAACATGGTTTAATATCAAATGTATCATATAAAGTTACACATACAATCCTAAAAACCTAACACCTTTAAAGAATCAGCTATTGAGTAAGCCTACACCATAGAAAGTTCCATCAGACAGCAAATTATGTAACATACCCTTCAAGGAGAAATTGTATTCAATACTTTTCTGTACAAATCTGGTCATGGGTGACAGATCAGATGATAGTCACTGTCCCTTCTGATGGTAACACCCTGTTGAAACAGTGACCTTGCTGACACTAGTAAGAAGTCTGTTCTATATGTGTGCAATTTGTAGAGTTAAATCTTAGGCAAATTAGGAACAATAAAAAGTGAACCAAAAATGAGAACCGAAAACAGCAGCAAAATCATTTGTCATGACTATAAGGTTTTGCTTATGATCTCCAGCACAATTTTGTGAGCAAATAGTGACATTTTGTAAAGGATCAAAAGTATCTTTTCATTATTGTGTTGGCTCCATGTTCTCCTACAGCAGATGACTTCTACTTACAGGACTCAGCAGTGCACTTCAGAGAAAGTATCCATGAGAGGAGAGAGTGGGAACTGACATTTGAAATAGGAGATATCCTTTAACTTCAGCATTAAGTGTCTGCAGGATATTTGCCTTCTCTGCTTCTTCGGATCATGGCTCAAACATGATCAGTTCAAAACTGATCTGGTTCCCCATGATAAGCAGGGACTTACACCATCCAGACAGCTTGAGCACTGAGTGGTAGAGTCACAGCAGCCCAGCACAGGACAAAGAACTCCACTACAGTCCTGCCTTGCAGTCAGCCATCACATTCTGCATGCTGCCCCTTCTGTACATCATTCCTGGCTGCCAGTGTCAGGGATATACTGTCTTGGGTGGGTTTGGTCACAGCACAAAATTTCTAAATATTCTTGGGGCCATCTAAATTATAATCAAGTTGCTTATAATAATAAAATTCATGCAATGAGACATAGACTTTGCCACTTAGACATGCATTTATTTCCATTACTAACATTCATGTTCCAGTGCAGACAAGAGGAGGTTTGTTTCAAACTAAATTAAACCACGACGATATCCTAGACCTTTGCAAGTGTGAAGTGATACTATTTAGTAGTACTGCTGAGTAATGATGCTGCTGCTGTTAGCAGTAGGAGGTTTTTTAGCATTAGTAGTAATGGTGGTGTACTGTAGTAATAGTATCACTTCTACTATCTCGCAGTAGTTACTAGGATAAGTCCCAAGTTCTGCTGATTTTCCTGTGCTTATGAAAGTGCTCTTAACTGTGAATGCCTGCTTCCAACTTCCTTGACCCTCTCTGCTTGCTTCTTCCCTTTTTTGGTCACTGATAGACTAATTTTTTCATTTGTGTACAAGATTACACACTGTCAGAGGTTAGCAAAGTAGGCAAATTGGAGTCTTCATTTTAGAATATTATTTGTCAGTTGACCTTGTAATACTATCTTTTGATAACTGCATATGACACCAGCTTTTAATACTCTGTCTGGGTTGATAGATAAAATCCAAGGCACAAATCAGTAACTGTCCAAGGGCCTGATCACCACACCATGCCTAAACTAATGCTGCCTAAAGAAATCTGCATGAGCTATTAGGAGGGGTTCATCACTGATAATTTGCTACAGTGGGAACTTGACATCCTTGTAAGGGGCGTGCAAAAAGCTTTTCGTTAGTTGTCTAAAATGGCTGAGAAATGCTGTGATATTATATGTCAGAAATAACATTTTCTTTGATGATACGGGTGGGTCTGGAGAACTGCAAGGCAATCCTCTACTGCATACTGTAAGAATATGTCACAGACCAGGGCTCAAAGAGCACGAAAATGCTGACCACTAACTCAACACAGTAAGATAATATTAATAATAATGATTACAATGATGAATTGTTGCAGTCTTATTCATAAGCATTCGTTAGATCTGAAATCTTATTAGATCTTCATAGACATCCCATCCGTATACCTGACAGCCCTCTGCTGAGCCATAAAGGTGAGTGGCACGTGCTCAGTGAAGCTGCCTTATACAGTGAAATGGTTTATGAGAAATGACAATATATGATGAGAATACAAAACTTGATAATAGGTTTATTTATTGATTGCAAATAAAATTCATGAACTGTGAAGCTGGAAACTGCACCAGAGGGAACTGGTCCAAGAGAACATTAGGGAAAAAGAAAGAGAGCGTGTGTGTGTGTGTATTACACATAAACTAAGTTAAAGGTTGCCTAAAGGCTTCTGATTCCACAAGCAGAGCCTCTGAGGATAGGATCTGAAAGCTTTTAATGCTACTAAAGCTTTGTCAGTAAGATATTTGCATATTTTGCCTACAAACCCAAAATGTTGTATTAATTCATTTTTATTTACCTTTCTGCCAATTACAAAAGAAACCTCACAGGAAGTCATTAATGACACCGCTTCATAAGAGATAACTTTCAGAGAGGCTTTGCAGGTAGTGACTAAAGGAGGGGGAAATGTGTGTCAAATTTAGGTTATTAACAATATAATCCTTAAACAGGCAGTATCTCAAAAACTAATTAATCTTCAAATTTGACTGTAAAAACTGCATGATCCTTTACTCTGTGTGCATGTGAATTTATATTGCATATCTTCTTTACTTCCTGTTTACTAGAAAGGGAAATAGGAGAGTTTTGAAGCGCTGGGGCTGGAAAACACAATTTTGTCTTCATGCTATGGCACCTTCCATTCAAATTCAGGTCCCTTTCTCCACAACCCCCCAGCAAAACCAAGCAGCTTTCACAGACCATGTGCAAAGGGCCACCAACAGCACCTACCTGCAGAGGAATCCTTGGGTTGGTTGGGAACCTCTCTGCAGGACACCCCCAGTCCCCAGCAAGGGACAGCACAAAAACTTTGCTTGCTGGGGGAGTATTTGCCATTTGAATCCTGCATGGGGAATCTGGATTGCCACAACAACTCACCACAAGACAAATCATACTCGTATCCAAAACATTTCTCAGTCTCCCCCACACAAAATCAGGCCTAGTGTCCCTGGTCTGTCCACAACTCACAACTGTAGGCATTTGAGATGAGATTGCTGTATTTGTTTTAAGTTAAACAATACTTTTTGTTTACTGTAATGCCAGGTTCTTGGCAGATAGACCTTTGGACAAGCTAAATGAGAAGCAATTGCTTTTAAATCCATGGCTGCAAGAAATCAGGAGTTCCATTTAATACAATTTTAACAGCACGATTTTTTAATCACAACATGGCAAAAGCAGTCTTGACCTTTTCCCTACTTAAGCACAAAGTACTGAAACTCTTGTGTCTTCCCACACTGAGAGACCTTTTTTCTCATGTGAATTTATAATATTCAGTACAAGCTTCTTTTAAACTTTCCTTTTGCTTTACTACCTCTACTCAGATCCTTTTAAGATATAATTTATTAGAGGTTTCCTCTTCCTTCCTGTACTTTTCTGCTCTGGACGCTCTATTTATAGTCTTTGTAATCCAAAATTATGTCTGAGGTAAAACACAGAGAGTCATACATGTAGGCGACATCAATGTCCCCCATTCCACTGCCCAATCCAGCACCTTTGCCCCTTGTTTGTCCTTTAAACAGAGGAAAGATTTCTCCTGATTATTTACATACTAATTTTTCTGCATTTAATCTACATTTAATCATTTCATCTACATCTACTTTATACAGTAGCCTTTGTCTCCTCACATGCTGCACAGACCAGAGTCCCATCGCATCCCTTGTAGGGCTGGCATATATGTTGTGCCCCTGACTACAGGTGAGTACTGTGTTCTGGTTACAACTCATCAATGGCTCCCAGAGACGAAATGAAAGGTTATATATATGAACCATACGAAGTGCCAGCAACCTGGGCCCCACTGCCCCGGAAGGTGGGCAGAGAGTGGGGAGAAGCAACATCTTCATTACATGACCACTCTCCTTCCACCACCTCCTTGGCCACAGTGCCTGGTTGAAGCTAGTGAGATATTGTGCAATTGTGAGGCTCCTTGGGGATGGGGCAAGGAGGAAAAAGTGCTACCTGGTCATGCCCTGGCACAATCATCTCCTCCTCCCCAGTTGAAACAAAACAGGTCTGCACTCAGACTGTCCTTTTCTTGTTCAGGATAAAACTTGACCCATATGGTCCTGGAGAAAAGCAAAACACCTCTATTCCTTGCAGAGCTGTTATTCCCAGGCACAGCCCCACTGAAATCAATACTACTTCTTCAGCACAAGTGTTTCAAAACCCAACCCTACTGTGGTGGGTACACCTCTGGTCCATTACAAGGTCCCTTCTTTCTGTGACAGATGAGCAGCTGAAAATGCTTAAATAAAAGCCCCAGCCTTTCTGAGTGCCTACCAGCTCTGCAACGCATAGACATGGGTTGGCAGGGAGGTGGACAGGGAGGTGAACAGGAGGATGAAAGACAGCTATGATAGCAATGACAAATTGTTAGTGGAAAGGTCTCAGTATCTAGTGGAGGCTTATGGATGGTTTAGTAAGGTTTTCACGGCTCTGTACTGAAAGGCTACAGTGAACTGCAGTTATATTTGTTCTTTGCAGGTGCTGTTTTGCTTTCCTGGGTTTTTCCACACAAACTTAGGAAACATTGCCTTTGGAAAATTACAAGGTCAGCTCGTGCCAGAAGCTATTGCTGGAGAAACAGCCCAGTGACACCATTAACCAGGCCACAGTTAATTAGTAGCAAACCCTGAAGATGTTTCTTACATTATGACACAGAGAGATAGTAGAGAAAGCAAGAAAAAGAAAAATCTGGATAGGGGACTTCAAAACGGAATGTTTCTTAAAAACATTAATATGGAAGAATTAAAAAAAAAAAAAGCTCAGGAATGTAAGGATGTCCGTCTTTTCTTCCTCCAAGTACAAGTGCTTGAGATATTTTCAAAAACTAGTAGCAGCTCTGTGTGACAGCATCCTCTCCTGCTGTGTGCTATCCCAGGAATGTGCCTGGGGAAAGTGCCACAGTGGTGAAAACACATGTGTGGAAAAGGGGTTTTCCAATGCATGTGTTCACTCCAATGCATGAGTAGTGTCTGGAAACATCTCTTTGTGCTGATGTTCATGCCCTGTAATTCTAATACAACAATTATTTTATAATCCTTTATTGTATTTTTAACTAATTTAAAGTTCAAAGTAGATTACCCATACAGCTCAATTATTTAAATGCTTAAGCCTCTTTTTACACACCAAAAAGAGGGAAATTTAGATATTTCGCCTTTAATGCCCCATGATAATTTTTCCCCTTCCTTCAAAAACAGCTGCAAAACAAATAAATAAAGTGAAAGTGAAACGCTGAGGGCCAGAAACTGTTTCTCTTTGCTGCTCCTCAGAGGTCATTACAAAGGTTTAATCCTCACTTGCAGTTCTGTAAGACAAGCAAACCACAGGCAGTGATAGACCAGGACTTGAGGCTGTGATTATTGCAGGGTTGCTCTGACTGACGTGGGCACCCTCACTGTGTACCTGCATGGCCTCATCAGTGGGAGCAGCTGGCACCACCAGAAGTGATTCAAGCCAGGCAAGATATGGATTGTGATCCGGAGGTGTCAAGACACATAGGAGTGTCACTTAGGGACATGGTTTAGCGATGAACACAGTGGTACTGAGTTAATGGTTGGACTCGATGACCTTAGAGGTCTTTTCCAACCTAAATTACTCTCATTCTTTGATCTCCAGACACCTGAAGAGGTTAGCCTGGAAGACTATTTACCTAATTCAGTCACCATGCAAGTCAGCAGTGGCAAACACAATCATTCACCCCCTCATCCCCAATGGATTGTGTGCACCTGCTTCCAAACAATCCAGAAGATAACGATCCTAGCCCATGGCATGCTGCATACCATATCTGCCACCTATTGCCTTGGAAAAAAGCAGTATTTGCTGCTAGTGGTTTGCCTATTGTTCATGGCCATTTTAATTTGGGTTAAGTTTGTGTCCAAATTTATTCCCACCTCATTAAAGCCCTATAATATTTCTACCATTTCAATCACCAAAATGTACACACTCTGCTCAACCAAATATATTTGAGCATTTTGGTTTTCCTTTATTTTGTTTCTATTTTTTCCAGTATTCACTAGAGATTTAACAACTTTGGTACAGGCACTGTACCATGAGCAAAAGTAGAAACGACTAGAAAGCTTCCTGGATTTTATAAAATTTCAATAAAAATAGGATGGTTCTAAATAGTTATCAAACACCTTGCTCAAAACTATTCTTTGTTGATGGACAGAATTATAGTTGGAGCCATAGTTGTCCAGTGACTCCTTTGTGTTTCATTTTTACATGGTCTTATGAGAGTTTCTATTTATGTTTCTATTTCTTCAGTTAATAGAGGGGGGGAAAGTATCTATTCTCTTTACAAATGTAGGTGGGACAGATATGTAGATATACAACAGATATACCCATGTACAAACCATGTCTAAATATCTGGCCTCTTCATCTGCAAAACCCTGCAGAAAAATAAAGAAAACCTAATTTTGCTACAATCATTTTGAAAACAATTACTTCATCTGCTAGTGAATTTATTATATTAATTTCTCTGCTTGATTTATCTGTGTTAATTATTTTTTAAAGGAGCAGTAGTAAAAATAACAAGTGGAAGAATCATACGCAAATGTGATGTCTAAAGAGCAGTCATCATATTGGAAAATAATTAGCTATTCATAAATGGTCAAGTTAAACTTACTCTGTATAACAGACTGAAACATAAGCCATTATAGGCAAGTTCCCCTGCTCCTGATAAGACATATTTTAAATTTAGATTTTTAATATTTTAATTTAGATTTGATATCCTAATTTTATTCTTTTCCCTCTGGCTAGCAATGCTAGGTGTTATTCAGGTTAACATCACCCTTTGCATTTATTTTCTTTCTCTTTATATTGTCAAAAAATAAAATTTAAATATATTCACACACACTTGTAAGGGCTTTAGAAATTATGCAGCAAGATTTTTGCAGATCTTTTCTCCTGTCAGGTTTCACTAACACATATACTTACCAATTCCCTTCTAGTGGTTCCTTTCAGGAGATCAGCTGCATTAATTTAACTCCTCTACTGTAATTTCAGGAGACTGAACCTAGGATAAAAGGAGCTTGGTGACTGATTCTGCCTTTTGCTATCATTTGCTTGGTCTGAAGATAATGGTGGCAACACTGACAATGTTAAAAAAAAAAAAAAAAAAAAAAAAAAAGAGGTGTACTTTAGGCTTACATTCTGAGAAACACAAGACAGTTGCCCAAAGACAAAGGGAGAGGTTGTTGAGAAAAAAGCTGAGAAAATATGTCAGCTTTGAAAAAGCATCTTTTTGACTTAAATCTTTCCTGTTGGGCTCCTATTCCATATGTTCAGCTTATCCAAGCAGCCAACCCAGCACTCCACTGCCACCACCATCTATCTGAGGGTCCACCATGACTTTCAGTTCTCCAGATTCCTGCACCATCCTCATCTTTCCACCCAGCGGTGGAAAAGGACCATTCAGCTGGTGGGCTTGCTGGTACTGACAGCCACACTGCATGGGAGGCAGAAGGGTGTGAGACCTGCAGATCCTCTACATCCCCAGCACATGCTGCGATTTAGATATGCTTGCCCAGAGGTGGGATCTGTGTGTGTGTGTGTGTGTGCGCGCATAAGTCTCCACGTCCTTCCCAGAATGCCTTCTACTGCCTTGAACCCCAAGCAGCTCTGGAGAGCCATGTCCCCATGGGAGAGACAGCTCTCAAGAATAATATGTGCCTCACAATATAAATAACTAAGATGTACCTCAACCTCTTCTCCACAATTTTTTCAATATATATACTCTAAGATTTCTAAACAACAGCGAAGAAAAGGGCATTATTAAGCTCCTTCATAGTAAAGAAAAACATATGGCTAAAGTACAGCATACTTAGTGCTTTGACTGAAAAACAAAACACCTTAGCACAGTATGTGCCATTAAAAAAAAAAAAAAAAAAATTTACAGATGATTTCAAAAGTGTCCAAGCCCCTCAGGAGGGCCTGCACTAGAAATGTCAGGGGAGGGCTGGGACACTCCTCAGGCAGTCTTCAGGGCCTGTGGAACACATTCCACTGCCTGGCCACTCTCTCCACTCACACCTGAGGCTGAGGAGGGAGGGATATGGCACATCCTAACAAGACGAGGTCCCATACATCCAGAAGACCCTTCATTTTTGCCTCTCTACTGTCTGCAGCTCCAGAAGAAGCTGAAAGAGGCATGTCATAGACTCCATGACTCCCTGGAGATGGGTGCTAGCATGATCATTTAACATCATGGGAAGTAAAATGAATCACAAGAAAAAGAAAGCTAAACAAAACAAAAAGGAATCTTTTTATAAATACATCAGGGCATCTCAGATACAACACTGTGATCTATAAATTATGAGCCATTGCCTAATACAGCTTGTACCACTTGGTGGCAACACTTCCATGTTTGATTTATTGAACCTTTCTCATAATCTTTCTTCTGATACTTGAAAGGACAAGTGTAGGCTATGATATGTGCAATTAATTACCGCGAAGAATAAAAATAAAAGCTTTGAATGGCTTTGGTACTACTTTCTGTCCAGGAGTCATACTAAACACTTTACAAGAGGACGTTACTTTATATCCTGAGACATTTCTAACAGGAAAATTTCATATTCCTCAGACACATCGCTGAGAAGCCTTGTACAGCAATCTCAACTTAATACTGGCAGAGACAATTTCTTTCAATGTGCAACCAGAACTATGAAAGAAAGTGTTGACCAGCTGCTTGCAGAGCACCAGGTACTCAGGAAAGACAAGGTAGATGGCTACCACTGTGCGGGTTTCTCCATTGCAAGTGTGTTTTAAGACTGCAGGTGAACATCTGAATGGCATTCAAGCTGTAGTCTTGTATAGTGGACAAGCAACAGCCATGATATGCAGCTTAAGTTTGATCTGCAAGATTCATTCTTCCAGCTAAGGTCGCTCAGTGTCCCCATGTGCTCAACTCTGGGCACCCCACTAAACCTGACAAGCAATATCATTAATGTCAATAATTTCCTGAATTACAGGATGTGCAAACTCACTGGTATTGGGCCCATATCCGCAGTTTGTGGTGTCCGGTTTTGTCACCTGTCTCTACACTAACATGTCACCCTAAGGCTATGAAGGGGCAGGGAGGCTGCTTTGGGAAAAGCAGCCCGAAGTCACACAGCAGACCAGGGGTGGCACTGAGAATGAGAATGCTCCTGGGTCCCTGTTCACTGCCATGGGCAGACTCTGGGTAGCAAAGCAGTTCACAGATAATGCGGGTGAGGGTCATATGCTGCAATAGCCTGCAGGAGTGCTCACCAGCCCAGACCACGGTAGCCTCAGACAGAATGTGGATAATGCAAAAAGCACTGTAAGGACCACTTGACTGGCCAGCATTTAGCAATGCTGCATGTCTGCAGTCATTAGAGACTTGGGAGGCAGCAGCCCAGTGAACAGAGTACCCGGGCTGCTGCTGGCCTCACCAGGTCCTTTACTGCATTTCAGCTTCTCTCCATGAGACTTGTAACTACAAGCCCCCTACAAGATTTAGGATTTAAAAAGGGTTTTTACAGGAACAGGTTCTTTCCACCCACATTGAGCCTGTAGCCCAGGTTGCATTTGCAGTAGAAGGGGCCAGGGATGCTGATGCAGCTGTGCTGGCAGACATGCTCTTGCTCCACACACATGTCCAACCCTCGCCAGACAGAGCAGGCATTAGAGAAGTTGGCCACATGGGGACTTTGGTTCTGGCACATGTCCCATCACTGCAGTCAAAGCCACCAGGACAACCTACACAGTCCCAGCCC